GTATGTATGTATGTATGTATGTATGTATGTATGTATGTATGTATGTATGTATGTATGTATGTATGTAAAGCCTCAAGTCCCATAATGAGGGTCCTGCAACAGCGAGTACTTGAGAATTCGAATATTCGACTATTCATTTGAAGTTGGGATTCTCGAACATTCGGATTTTCGTATCCAGTTTTGAATTTCTTCGAACCAAATTATTCGGAAGTTTCGAGTTTCAAATAATCGAATTTGCATGATTCGAATTGGAACTTTTTTACTAATGGTCGAATAACTATTCGATTGTTTATTATTGTTTTTTATTTTATTATTTCGATTCCAATGTATGCTATGCAGCCTTTGCTAGATTGGAAGACTGATACGTTCTTAATGAGTAAGATCGCGAATTTCTTGACTGACGACGATTAAATACATATATTGATAGAAGAATACTACATCTGATAAGCTTGATTTAAATAAATGTCGGAAAGCTGGTTGTTACTATAAACATGTGATTTAATTCGTTTCCCCCTTCTTTTTTGGTCAGTGCGATACAACCCTTTCGACCCCTTCCCTTCTCCTTCTTTTCGCCCCCTCCTGTATCGTCTCTCCTCTCATTTCTTCAAGCAAGGCAGCAGAGCATGCTTTAGCCTTCAGTGCTCTTCATTGGCGTACACTTCCGCTGTTGAAGTTTTGGAAATCCACAATTTCTTTGAAAAAAAGCAAAAACATGTAGGTGGAAATGTTATGAATATATACAATATTCATTATCTCTTCTTATGCTACATATACGCTTGAGCGTTCATCACAAAAAAGCCACTATAAATAAGGATGATGGCAGTAAGCAATACAAAATTGGGGTTTACAAAATCCATTTCCAAAATACAAAAAGAATGAAGCGATGTGTGAGAGGGAAACATATTTGGAAATTCTTGCTTGATTTGTCTTTGAATGGGAACTATTTCGGCAAGGTTATTAGTTTCGAGAAAAAAAGAATGGAATTATTTTCAAACTTATGGTAGTTAACTAGTTGCGTCACTACTCTTCCAGCTTTGTCACACTCTTTTGGGAAGAAATAGACACACCTAGTCAATTACCTTTGAAAGTGGGTCTACTTAGCAGTTTTCTGTTGTCTTGTGACACCTTACTCACTTTCAAAAAAACATTTTGGAGGATTAAACAGAGAAGAAAATACTGGCAAATATTTTGATTATTGTTCAACTGAAAGCACCTTTAACAACAGTGCGATATTTTCTTTTTTTAAACAGACAGCTGGAGGCTAGGTTCACATCTATTATTCTAGCATTTTTTTCGTAGAAGGAAAGATCTCCTCGATGAGGCT